GCGTTCCCAGCAAATCGAGTTCCCCGTAGATAGCCCACCCGTTGTACATCCCGACGACAGGCTCAAACTCCGTCTTATGTCGCTAGCCTAGATCGATCTTGTAATCGCGCGGAAGAAAAAGCGATCGCCCAGGTGAATTGAGCGGTTCGCTCTAAAAGGTGCACACGTACGAGGCGATTTTCGAGAGGAAACGAATTTCTACCGGGGAAAAATAACTGACGAGGACAATATAAATATCTTGTCGCGCGTTTTGAAAGTTTAACGACGCCGTATATGTTCGTCAGTCTTTTTTGTATAACGAATAATGGATGCCACCAATCTGTATCAATTTTAAACGTCTGTACACTACAATTAAAATTGAAAAGCAATTTATGCTTTATTATATGGGGAGGCTCACATATAACACGAGAAGCTTTTAGCCCGCAATGGGTAGAAATTAATGAGTTCCATCGAATTGCAATAACGCTGCATAACGGTCAATTTCCCGATAATTAATTCTTCCATTAGTGCTACGTTGTTATGATATTGCTGTATTTCGCTACCGTGCGATATCGAGCACTCGAAGAAAAACGGCATAATGATAAATAAGACAGAAAAGAAAGATTAGCACTTCTCCCTCCGTTATTACGAGTTAACTGAGTTAAGTCTGAACCCGCGAGAGACCCCTTCAATCTCCGAATTTTATAGCTGACCCACTTTAGACTATATACCGGGGAAAGACACGAGTCGTTTTAGCGTAATCGCTATAACTCGCGCACAGCGAGGCTCGCGGGAGAGAAAGAAGGTATTCGTTGTCGGCAGCAGTGCGGAAATAATATCGAAGGCAACCCCGGGGAAGTTGGACGGTAACTGGTGGATTGTGTGAGAGACGCGGGGAGGCAGTACGCTTGAGAGGGTCAGAGGTTAAGTGAAATTGAAGTTTGGGTCGTTGATGAAAACGGCTTGCGGGATACGAGGAGGAGACGGCCCGGTCCTTGAGCAATAGTTTCGTTCCCTTTTAATCTCGGTCGGCGAAGGTTGGCAGCAGCGACGACAGCGGCGTCCTGGAGGATGGAAAAGGAGCAATCGCTCCCGGACGAGCGAGCGTGTGCGGTTAATCCTATCACAGTATCGCGCCGTTATAGGATAGCGCGAGAATCCGGCAAATAAATTGTCGCAACCGGCTCGTGGAAAACGAGAAACGTGGACGCAGGGAGCTTTTCTATTGAGAGGGATGATTTATGATAGGTAGCGCGCTTTTCCTCTCACAGCTTGCGGAAAATCTCGGTGATGCGAAGGTGGAACGAATAAAGAGAATGGAGGCCACCAACTACCTGGATTAGAAATTGTTGGTCGGTATATATCTCAGGGAGGATGTGAAAGATGATAAATATCGCGTGGTAGGATTAAAGTGGTATGACAGAACTCGAGCAGATCTCGAGACTCTTTGCGAGCACGACGATTCAACATGTGGCTACGCGTATAATTATTACGGTAAAAGAAAACGATATATTTACCTCTCGAAAACGCGTCGCGCGGAAGAACGGAAGATTCGCGATTAATTCGCCGAGGCTTATCTAAGATCGTTACACACAACAGCGGAATTCCGTTCGGTGATTCTTGATAGAATTCCCCTCCCCCTTCAGCCCGCTCATTCGTTCGTCGGGACGTTTTACCGCGGAAACGATAAGAGAGAAGCTATTTTTCAGCGGTGTCGGTGCTGCTGTATATCCGGCTGCCGGTTAATTCCGTGAAATATCGCAGCCTGCACCTTTCCTGATAATGGAGACCTCGACAGACTGCCCCGTGTTACAAACGATTTTTCATTTCGATTCCTCATATTGCCCCCTCTACACATCCCTCATGGCCGCTCGTTTCGATTCGCCGATTATTTCCCGTGTGTGACACACGAGCTTTTTCGCCGAGTGTATGACGGCGACACGCCGCGAAAACGTTCTAGGTCGGTTCAATTTCGCACCATGAACGGTTCCATGAGTTAGTCGTCTTACCGCTAGAACGAAGATGAACTAACTGTTCAACCAGTCGACGGTTATCTGCGATAACTACGATTTCAATATTTCCCATGGGGAGACGCGTGTTCAACGAGTGTAAAAATGATTTTTCTGATTGCCAAATTTGACATTGCTATATTTATCAAGTTTACATTTGATTTTTATCAAAGCGATTGTTTTATCCTTTGCCAAAGGATGAGATCAGATTTGCCTCACGAGCATAAAGTACGAAGTTATTTAACCTTTCGCACTATGACGCTCATGCCGTTCCATTCTTCTTAATTCTAATCGTTAAAAAGGAGAAGAATCTGGGGCATTCGGTATATAATGTATCACTAACGTATCCCTCATATCATCTCGCGGCTGATGGGTAACGCGAGAAGCGTTATTTTCGCGTCGACGTGCGAATGCACACGTCCAAAAAGGCACTCACCGCGACACTCGACGGTCTCTCCTGTGAACGTTCATCGAGAATCATTGGAAATTCTCACAGCAGGAAATTGCGATTTCGCGTTTGTACCTGCAGATAGACGGGTGGAACGGGTATATGCAAATTTCAAAGCGCGCCGGGACTGCGTTGTGTGTAGCGAAATGTGCTCTGACACTTGATTCGAATTAACAAGAATCGAAATCCATCGTTTTCGATCTTAAACAAGAGCATGCGGGCGTGTTGCTTTCGGTCGGTTTAATCGTTTTGCAATCGAAAAAAAACCTCAGAACTTATTAACTTAATATTCGCTTAATTTGCTCAAACAGAATGTTATATCGTAGTTATAAATGTTGAGAGTGTTTCCCGTTTCTTCGAAATATTTACTCTCGGGATTTTCTGTGCAAATTTGTGATGCAAGCAACAACTTGAGCTTATCAAAATACCGATTCAATGCCGATCGTTTCGAGTTATTTGCAAATTACTCCTCAGTGTTAGCTCGATATCAGCAATACGACGCGAAGGGTTTGCAATTGCATCATAACGAATGGCGCATTATACGATATTTGTCGACTGACGCTAATGACACCATCATCCTTTCCACGTCTCTCGGATAGTAGTTGTCAGACAAATCGATTGCTTCGTGAATCTCCATCGGGGCGTAAATTGATTTCGCTAAGCGAGGAGAGAGAGAAAGCTCGCGCAACAAAGATCTGTCATATCGCGCTCCTGAGATATCCCATTAGCCTCTCGCGCGAGAGAAACGCCCTCTTTTCGATGATGCAACACATTCACGTGGTTTCGTCCCGATTGGGACTCTTGGCTACCCTTCAATCTCTCCATCGTTGACATCGCCAAAGGGCAGCAGTCGCGCGCAACCCGACCGAAATTCGGGACACGTAGGACGCGCGAGGGAGCATCTGTGCATTTGCACGTAGATCTGTGATTCTTCACACGAGGGACGCGAGTGTAAAAAAAATGATTACGCGAAAGACACGTATTTTCTCGGAGGGGGGGGGGATGAAGAACGAATTAAAATGCGCTGCGAGGAACGTCGTGAAATTACACCTAAATCTCTGACGCGAGAGATAAGTGTAACGCTCGATAAAATGTATAGCGCGCGGTGTCACAAGATTGTAATCGACGGACGGGAAAGTTGATCGTTTTAGAAATTTGTACTTGTCGCACCTCGAAATTGTCTCTCACTCCGAACTATTTCTATTCTCCTCCTCTGTGCATCGCGCTCGCTCGGTTAATATCCACCGAGTGACCTGCGAAACGCTCAGACTGGCCCCGTGATTGCGTGTACGCGAGTGGAAAGCGATCCGCACATTCATTCGCCTCGCGCGTACGCCTATGTTTGTTTATGTCAAATATTCAAGTTCGGCTGCGGTGTAAACTACACTCGCGAGTTTCCGTCGGATTATTGATGCAGTTCACGTTTCCCCGAAGGCTTATACCGAAGGAAGCCTGGCGACACGCCTGGGACCTTGCCAATACGGTCAATGCAATCAGGACTGTCTTTAGGTGAAGGCAAGTCGAACGACTTGAACGATCCTTCCGCGTAGTCGCTTACTCTGCGAAACGCAATCTTGATAAACGATTAAACGATAGTTTCATTAAACGGCCGGATCCCCTTTGTCGCGACAATCCTCTTTCTCTCTCTCCCTTCACCGCAGAAACTCACGCCAATACTTACTTTCCGTTACGATCGCAACTACTCTCGACTCCAGGATAGTTCACGAGGAAGAGAAGAGGACCCGATAGCGAAATAATCCCAGCGCACCGCAGTCATCCACGATGACTTAGTATCTCCGGACTCTCTCGTCGACTTTAGGAAACTCCCGCGTAGTTCACTTGGCGCAGTCCCGCGAGGTCGATGCGACCCTTACGACGGGGTAAACGCTATCGGCCGCGGATATCTGTGTTCTTCCGGCTTCGAAACAGTGGCGAACCGTTCTATTTCAGAAGCGGGATTGGCAGCCATTTGCTCTCGGGACAATCCGATGTACATAATTCTCCGGCACCGTTCCTCCGCGAATTGCCAATTCCGTAGACTAAGAAAGAGGAGCGCTCTTTCGACGTTCCATTAATCAAAGCTCTTCGATCGGTTGCGCGACATTCGCTTGAGAAATATCCGACGATATCGGCTAGCATTCCTTGTTTCAATTGTACTGTAGTCTGCGATTTGCTTGGATGATCGAAATGAGAGCCTGCCGCGTAACGACGCAAACAATCCTGAGACGGATATGACCCCCGTTCTCTCGAGGAATTACTTTTTGATCATTGTCGAAGAAATTTGATTCGCACAGATTTATTCTCCCTTCGGCCGCCGATTAAACGCGCACTCCAGAATCAGATTCGCTACACACTCAAGTATGTAAGATATCTCTGTCTATCTATCTAAGACATCGTAATCTCACACCGAACGCGCACACACACATGTGCGCACGTACAGAAACAAATTTAAAACATCAAAAAAAGAAATAAAAAAACAAAAAAGACGGCTTGATATCGAATCGGAAGTACAAAGTAAGCTCGACCGCCGCAGCGCCCAGAACCACTAATGTGCTCGCTCGCAGCGCGGACGGCAACTTCGAGGTGACCTTGGCCACGAAGGCCACGATCTACCATCAAGGATTGGTCGAGTGGAAGCCGCCGGCCATATATAAGTCATCCTGCGAGATCGACGTGGAGTACTTCCCATTCGACGAGCAGACCTGCGTCCTCAAGTTCGGTTCGTGGACCTATGACGGCTTCAAGGTAAATTCGCATGGTAGCCGTTAAGTCGTGGCCCCCCATCCATACCCCCGACCTTGTGAGCCCCCCTGACAAACCTCCGAAGCCCGGCGAAAACGTCCGAGACGCGGATCCGACACGCTCCGTGCGGGATGCGTCTTCGGACGAGAAGACGATCAGCTGTAGAACCTAAGCGTAGACTAGATGACACAGACGATCGGCTCGCCGCGTGGGTCTCCGGGATATGATCGGGGGGAGGGAGGAGGGAAGACGAACACCGGGATATACCATGTCGGAAGACGGATGCTGCCGGATAGCCCGAGACGACGCGGAAGTTTCCTCGTGTTGTCGTAGAAACGAGAATCGAGTTCCGCTCGCGTAATCTTCTCTCTCGTGTCGCTCCGCAGAGTAATTCCATGATTCTAGTTTTATGAGAAGTAAATTTTCGGTCGTCTCTCCTCACACCGCGGCTCTCTTCGGCGAGTTGAAGCGCGAATCCTCCATGTCATTTCGTCATTTCAATTATTCCGTTTCGAAATCGTCCACCGATCGAGCGAAACGGGTTAGGCAGCGAACGGGTTACCACGCGACAAACGCGCGCGAGATTCTCACTTCGTCGCAAAGCTGGATATCGAAGAAGGCGAAGAAGAGAGAGGGAGAGAGAGAGAGAGAGAGAGAGAAAGAGAGAGGCGAAAAGAAAAATAGAAAAAGAGGAAGAAAAAGAGAACAGAATAGACGGGGAAAGTGAAAAGGAGGAAAAGGGAAGAAGAGATAGGGAAGCGGGCGGCAGCATCCGGAGACCTTCTCTCCGAGCCAATCGTGATCACGCTCGGCTCGTTTCTTCGGTGATTCCAGCGCCGACGGGAACTACGAGGTGACGCTGATGACCAAGGCCACGGTCTACTATTCGGGATTGGTCGTGTGGCAACCGCCGGCCGTATATAAATCCTCCTGCTCCATCGACGTTGAGTTCTTTCCGTACGACGTACAGACCTGTGTTTTGAAGTTAGGCTCCTGGACCTATGACGGCTTTAAGGTGCCGCACTACCGCAACGCAACCGAGCACGAACCGCAGTCTCCAAGCATTTAGTCTCTTGAGATGATTACTACTGATCGTATCGGTCTACTCTCTAACGTTATCCTTTAGCTCGTTTTTCCATTTTGTGTTTTGTCAAAGAATGCCTTCCTTGACACCCGTAATCGTTCCTGCGATGCGCTCTAGTCTTGGACGTCTCACACGTGTGGTGATATATATTTACGTATATTTATTCATTCGTCTCTGCGTACGCGCGTATTACGCGCTGGGGCTGCGCCGGATTCGACTACGGATCCCTTCGCCGCTTTGCGCTCGATCGTCCAAATTTCATCTCTTCCATGTCCGAGACGGTTATATCTAAAGCTTCATCGAAATCAAAATTGCACGTCGTCGCAAATCGCCGTCGGGAAATCCGTGGACGCGGAAGAAGAGTTCGGCCAGCCTGCGCGACACTCTGTGTATACGTGTGCGTGCGTGTATACGCGCGTACATTTGGATATTGTTACGTGGTGTGGACTGCAGTGTTACTTCATTAACTGCCATTTCGTGGTACCGCGCGTTCGGCTCGTTTTTTCCATTATTCTACGGTGTGTCCGAGAAACCGGGCGAGCTACCTAACGCATCCGTCAGTGTGGCTCGTGTTTGCTGTCCAGGCGAGGATCGACGAGCTCATCCGATGTCCAGGATGTCAGACTGTAATGGAGTGCGCGTACGGGCAATTCGAGAGATTTACCGTTACATGTCGAATGGAATCGAGTGTCGTAGTCAACATTTGTTGAGCGCCTATATCCAGTTACCCGAATCGCGAATTAGAAAGAGGGGGAGAGAGAGACACGGCAAGGGGTGTCCGTTTTTCCGTGATATCTTACGCGGTTTTGTTTGTAGCTTACAATTCACGAAGTGACATACGCGAGTAGTCGTGATGTTTCATTAAATCATATGAAACGGTTAAATTTCATTGCTGCGGCGGAGAAAAAGGGGAGGGAAAGAGAGAAACTGTAATTTTCCAGGCTGTTTCATTAATAACGTAAACACGTTGAACAAAACGCGTTACTGACTCATTGATTGTATTAAAATGTTCAATATCAGTTTCCGAAATTAAATTCTCAGCTATGACCTCTCGGTTCCTTCGCCTCGCATCGCTGTGTTTCTCTCGTAATAATATTTCCGTGCTCACCACGTGGCGTAAAACAACTACCATCGAATCGAGATACGGCAGTGAAACGTTACTATACCTTCGTTACGTAATACACAAAGGGATACAATGTTCGATCCTCGCTTCGACGAGCGAGCCGAAAACGTCGAAGGGATGCATCGGTCACGATTCACGCGCGCTGCAGAGGGCGGATACTCGCTCTCCGCGGTCGGTCACCTCGTCCTTCGGGTATTTAGCAGTCCGATTTGGTGAACGTCAAGTCCGATTACGAGACTGATCGATACGCCGGCTGTGAATTCTGGTTATTCGTTTCCTTTTTGGCTTGTTCTCTACACACAAAAGAGGAAGAAAAACAGGGCGTCACTACTCTCGACACACGTGGGAAAGGTATAAAATTTCGCGACAGGACTCGAAACATCTCATGACACACGAAACGAGAGACATGTTACCAGTCACACGCACCTTCCGTTGCGTCACTAACAGGGTCACTCCGGTTCTTCTGTATGCGACTGCTACGCTAATTATTATTCCGTTCACTTCCGCAACACTGTCATTCTCAGCGGTAAATCATTTCTAATAGGTCAGATCGGAAAGAAAGTCGCGCTCTTCCAATCTGAATTCATTGCATACATCCTGATATATTTTCCGATATATTCGAGACGATAAATGCTCTTTCCAGTAAACGTGTTACTCTCTGAGACATTTTGTTGTCTCGCGCAAGAATGCAGTTCGTCTCGAGATTCGTCATTTTTGAGAGAGAGAGAGAAAAAAAGAAACGGATAGTTATAATATTTGCTGAAACGAGATAGATGACCACTTCGCCGATATATCCGCTATTTAACCCGACATTCTATTACGCGAGCATCCGAGCGAGGTGGTCTGTTATTCTATCAATCGTATCGCATCGATTCGAACTGCGAATTTGATCCGGCGAGCGCGCAATTAAACGCGCGTCGACAACGCAATTTACTCGTCTAGACCGAAGCCGGTGGAAAAAGTAGGACGATCGCGTCAGGATCGATACGAGGAAAAAGTCGCCGCGCCGGTGGCGCTTTTCGAAATTTCTCCATCTTCGCGCCGCGCGACTAAAAATACTCCTCATGTTCCGTTGCGCAAAAGGAATACGGCTCGACGTGAAATATCATTCCCTTGAAAGAGCAATTTTCCGCTTTTTATGATGTAATATTAAAAGCCACTTAGTAGACTCGGTACTTTTTAACCGACTAAAGCAGACGAGACGACGTCCCTTTTGTAACGCTTTAAAGAGACTCGGCATCTCGCACGCAACTCCCCTTGCGTAATAATCGCGCGAAATTGACTCGGCGTCGATATCGCTTCCGGAAATCGACGGAGGCCTCGTTTCCTGAGCGCGAATACGCACGGTGCCAGCCGACACAACGCACACGCGAAAATTTCATTTTCAGTCGCACAGCTTGCACAAGGTCGTTGAGCACGAAACGACGCATACATCACAAAGCTCACCGTACATTCACGAGTTTCGGTCTTACAACAAAGCCGTCGTATCGATGTTACTGCTTTTCCCGAACGACTTCGCGTCTCGCTCGAGATGTACGTACGTGTTATTTAGCGTCGTACGCTTCCTCTTTCAGCGCTGAGCGCTACATCGTTAAAACTTTCCGTCACGGAGTTTCCGTACTTTTTCGTCGCGTCGCTCCTACCGGATTACACGAGGCTCCCTATATCAGGCCGAATCGCTATATTGTATCCCCGCGTTAAAGCCGACCGCGCGGATCTACTGAGCCCCGGAGGACCAAACTGTCGGGAAATAATTTCGCTCTGAGACATCCCGTCAATTGATCACGAAACACCTCGAAAAAGAAATTTCCATACGCATAATTGTTCGCGAAAGCTGGATTGCGTCTTAAAGAAGAGAGAAGTCGTTCGATTAAAAGACGAATGAACGATTTCAATCGGCGGAACGGTGAATTCCGAAGAAACGCGAAAAGTTAGCGAGAAACGCATTGTGCTCCGCTCTATCAGTCCGGCGATTCCAGTCGCGGCGGCGGCGCGAGAGATACGAGACTTTTCGTCTCTCCCCGGCTTCCTACCGCCGACGACGTGCTTTATTGCGGCAATAAAGGATGGATCGATATTCCGGTGCACGTACGCGCGGCTCCTCCGCGCTCATTCTCGCGCGTATCTATGCCGGTCGAGCCGATGTTATCAGATGGTACATAATATAAAGCCGCGGAAAGGATATCGGGACGATTTATTTCGCGTTCCCGCGAGAATCATTTCAACCGCGAAGTTACATTATCGTAATCTGAGTCGAAATTTTCATATTATTTTCTTAAGAGCAATTTGCGATCAATAAAATGGCCGATTAACTACCTATTTCGACGTTGAAACAACGAGGAAGGAATCATACAATCGTATTTTTTTTCCACTGAATGCATTTTACTTCTTCCTTTCATGCTTTTCGTTCTGCTGCTAGTAAGTACATTCTCTCTCGCACACGAAGTAATTTAATCTATAAGATAATCTTTGTACAAGATAATGCAATAGAAACAGCAACATCTTTTGCTCCTGATATTTTGATATTTATTACTGTATATTATTACTTATATCATCGAATAAATTATAATTTTTATTATTATTACTATGTCGTAGAATTAAAGGTTTAACGCAAAATTTCGACTCGGTAACCCTTGTCGCTAACGATTTCACTAACGATTTCGTATCTCTCGCAACATCGCGCGGCGCGGTTGAACCGCACGTAATTAACCGTGTAAGCGAGAAGGCGCGTACATTACAGCGAAATTCGCGAGAGAAATCGGTCTCTCTCTCTCTCTCTCTCTCTGCCTCGTAAGT